GGCTGCTCCATCCCTGGGAGTGTCCCAGGCCAGGTTGGATGGGGCTGGAGCAGCCTGGGCTGGTGGGAGATGTCCCTGCCCAGGGCAGCTCTTCTTTCTGGGCTTTTATTGGGGTCAGGTTAGTGGTTGGACTTGATGATCTTAGAGTTCTCCTCCAAACTTGATGATTCTGTGATTGAAATGATTGTGATTGATTCTGCATTCACTGGTTGGCCACGGCTGATGTTAACTTTATGTTCAAACCATGGGCTCCAAAACCCTAAATATAGAGAGAGTTCAGGGGAAGAAAACAGTTCTGCATGGTCACAGGTAATGGAGTAATAAACAGGTTTTATGCTTCATGTTCTCCATTTATTTTTTTTTGCAAACAAATGTGCATTTTGCTCTAGTTCACTGGAGCAAATGTTTTCTGGATCATAGAGTAGGTAAATAAGAGTTATCCAAGCCCATGTTGGTGCACTCAAGGGGTTATTGCAGCATCACATTGAGAGGGGAGAGAGAAGCACAGAGTGTCCCTGGCTCCTGTTCACACCCAGGGGGATGAAGGCACTCAGGACCTCTCAGGATAAAGCCCATAAAAAGACAAATATACAGTGGAACAGGCAGAGATGTGGTTAATATAAAATCCCTTGGAGTTAGGAGTGTTTGGGAAGTGAAGTGGTAGGAGGGTGTAGTATAACCATAGTAACAGGCAGGATCCTGCAGAACTGAGGCTGGAATAATGGATTCTGCAGGCTGGATCAGATTGGGAGGCTGTAAAAGGAGATTCTGCTTCTCAGCACATGTTTGAATTGATACAGACTAAAATCTCCAGCCCTTTGTAAAGCTTGGATGTGCCAGGAGGAAAACAAGTTGGAGAACCTTCTTATCACTCCCTGGGAAATAAGCACTAATCAGTAAAACAGAGAGTTTAGACTCTCAGCTCTCCTCTCTTAGCTGAAAAAAAACCTATTTTAGTTGGGTTTATTCTTCTGGTTTAGTGTGGGTAACCATCACATGGTGAAACCATTCCTTAATGGCTGCATTCCCATCTTTTGTCTTCTTTCCTCCAGGAAATGAAGCAACAGGCGTGGGAGAAACTCTGATTTCTCCAGAAAAGAATATTGAGGGAGTAGATGGTTCCTCTACCTTAAGTGCTCCTCACCAAGAAGTTAGGGAAAACACAGTGGCGTAATTTCTATCCCTGGGAGTGTTCCAGACCAGATTGGATGGGGCTTGGAGCAGCCTGGGCTGGTGGGAGGTGTCTCTGCCCATGGCAGGGGGTGGAACTGGATGACCTTAAGGGTCTCATCTAACCCAAACCATTCTGGGATTCAATGGAAATTGGGTTGGAATCCCAGGGTTGGAATGTAAATTCTGCCAGTCCTGGAGCTGCTTTATGTCACCTGAAGCTTCAGCCCAGCTGAGAGTAAGGCCCAGACCAGGGGAGAGTGACAAATGTTTGCCAAATCCATTGAAGCAAAACCCATAGTGTTAACAATAAGTGATGCTGCTCTGGCTTCTCCTCTCCCCTCAGCAGCAGCTGATGGACAGGAGGGTGTAAGGAGGAATTTCTCTGTATTTTTCGTAGCCTTAAGGCTCTTAAAAGCCTCACCCTGATGTGCTGTGGGAGTACTGAATCATCTCCCTGGCTTGGTGTTGGGATTCAGCCCCACACAGCATTCATTCCCAGGTGGGAGAGGATGAGCACTGTTCCCTGGATGAGTCTCCTTGTTAGTGTGGGTTTTTTAAAGGCTCCATTGAAGTGTCTTGCCATCAAATTAGGCTTTGATCATCTCCATGTGCCGTTAATGAATCCAGATGGGTCAGAGGCAGCTGGATGGTAACTCTGGGATAATTTGTGTGCTGCCTTTCATTTCCTGGCATGGAGTTGCAGAGGATCCAGGTCTGGCCCAAGCTAACGAATCCACCTGCAGTAACATGGCCTAATGCATCCTCAGTGTCCCCAGGGACACCTGCAGATGTGTCAGGATTGCTTTGGGAGAGGGTAAGATGGGACAGAAAAATAACCAGTGAGTATGTGGCAGTGGCTTCTTTCGTATGGTAATTTCCTTTTCTCTTCCTTTTTTTTTTTAATCAGGCAGAAGAGCTTTGTGTTTCCTCTAAATCAAAAGATTTCAGTCTGAACTCCAGATATTGGCAGGAGCTTAGCTGGGATTTGAATATTGTTGCAGAGGAGAAAGGAAGTGGGAGAAATTGCAGAGAAACCAGCAGTAATTCTCTTTTGGCAGACACTCGTGGATTTTGAAGTTGTTGTTTCCTCAAATACTGAGTTACTTAAAGAAAAATGGGTTGGATTGAGGTTTGATTCCTCTTGGTGTGGTTGCACATCCAACCCGTGAGGTTTGCTGTCACATCAGGATGTCTGGAGGGACAGATCCTTCCCCTGGTGAGCTGAGAGATCAGTGGGATTTGACAGCAGAGTGGAAGGGTGAATGGTTGGACTTGATCATCTTAGAGGTCGTCTCCAACCTTGGTGACTCTGTCCAACCCACCTCTCCCCAGTGAAATACCACTGGAAAATACCATTCTCCATGCTTAGAGGAGAAAAATTGCTTTTGTCTTCCAGGTTGCTACCAGAGCATCCACTCTGCATTTCTCATACCACATTTATCAGTTAAACATATGTGGACATGACTTTACTCTCAAGGGAGAAATGTCAGATCAGTCTCCCCCTCTGCTCCGCATGGGTGAGATCCATCCCTGGGAGTGTTCCAGGCCAGGTTGGATGGGGCTTGGAGCAGCCTGGGCTGGGGGAGGGGTCCCAGCTCAGGGCAGGGGGTGGGATGAGATGATCTTGAAGGTCCTTCCAACTCAAACCGGTCTGTGATTCCATGATTTTAGTAGGATTTGGCTGTATTCTTAGACTGCTTCGTTTGCCCTCTCTGGGCTAGCAAAGAGCCTGAGCAGCATCTGCATCCTGCAGCTAATGAGCTGTGCTCACACCTCAGAGCCCATCAGGGTGAAATCTGTGGCTGCCACAGCCTCTGCACACTCTTGTCTGCTTCATTTGCTGCTGATGTCTCCAGGATACAACTCCTTTAGGGCTGGTTGTTCTCCTCTGTGCACATCACACCCGGGGTGGGATTGGATAGTTATTAAAGCACAGATAGTGTAGGACCAGGAGAGGCAACATAAACAAGAGCTTGTGAGCAGCCTAGGCCAGCCTAGATCTTTCCTCAGACAAAATAACCCCAGACTGGGGCTAATTACAACATGAAAGGTGGGTTAATTCCTGAGATTTGCCCTAATAAGGGACAAGAGCAACCAAAGAGAAGTGTTTTTTTCCCTTCCAGTGCAGTTGTGCACCAAGGACGTGTCAGGAGCAGCACAGGCAGTGACTAAGCCTTCACTGAACCTCCCAAGCTAAGGAGTCGTGTGCTCTGAATGAGGATGAGCTTGGCTGATGATTCCTGGCCAGCTCAAGGACAGGTAGTGGAGCAGAATCCATCCCTGTCACTCAGGGGTTGCTGTGGAGCAGCAGGATTGAGGATCAGGATGATGCTGCTGCACTTGAACCTGGAAATCAGTAGAGAGGAGGTAGTTGAGTTTGTGGGGATGTGGCAGAGATGATGATTTGGGGGTTGATGAAGTTTTGCTTTGCAAACAAGTGAGTAACTCCTCTTCACATCCTGATTGCACAGAGAAAGGGCTAAACTGAGCCTTGATACAGCTCTGTCCCTGTCCCTGGGGTCCTCCCTGCTAATGTGAGTCCAGAATTTCTCAACCCAGCCAGGGTTGCCAAGTGCTTCAGTCTCCCCCTGTGCCTTTGAATACCTCAGGAATAACACTTTGTTCTACCAAGCCTGATCTGAATTCAGTTGATTTCAACCTGGGACTTAGATAACCTTCCCTGTGTCTTGTGTCACTGCATCAATCAGGTTGGAAAAGACCTCTGAGATCAGCAGGTCCAACTCATGTGGCCTCCTCTGGCCTTGCTCCAACAGCCCCATGTCCTCCTGCTGTTGGGGACACCAGAGCTGTGTGCAGTGTTAGTGCTCTGATGGGGCTGACAAGGTGGTGTTTGGTCAAAGGTTGGACTCAATGACCTTAGAGCTCCTTTCCAACCTAAATGACTGTGTGACTCTGTGATCTGTAGGGTGTGGAGCAGCAGTTTGGGCTTTGTGTAACTCCTACCTCTAAAAATCACAGTTTTTTCATTTTGAGGTTTCATCTAGTGAAGGAAATACCTGGTGAACTTTGCCAGATCACTCAAAAATCCAAACTTCTAGACCTGATACTCAACCCCCTAAAGCCACCTTTCTTCTCCTCTTGCATGGTTTCTTCTTTTCCCTCCTTTATTCTGCCTCACATGAGTGGATGCTGCAGCAGCTGCTCAGCCTTGAGGAGCATCAGCTGCTTGTTTGCATCTGGGATGCTAATTAGCAAAACCTGAGAAGGCTGAAGTGAAGATACTCCCTGAGCTGCTCTTCATTCCTCAGCTTTTGTTTCTTTTCCAGAGCACAGTGATTGTGGAGAAGACTGTTCAGGACCTGATGAACCTGATGCACGACCTGAGTGCCTACTCGGACCAATTCCTCAACATGGTGTGTGTGAAGCTCCAGGAGTACAAGGACACCTGCACTCTTGCCTTCAGGTACAGGCAGCTTGGAAGCCAATGGATGCTGGAGATACTGCTGTTTTCCATGAGTAGGGAGGAGATATTTCTGGAATTAGCTCTGCTAGGAGGGTCACAGATGTTTCTTTGGACATGGGGAAAAAACTGAAGTAATGATCATTGGCATATGCAGAGTCTTGACCACATTGTGCATCCCAAGGAGTGTGGCAGCAGGGTCAGGGAGGAGATTCCCCCCCTCTACTCTGCTCTGTGAGGCCTCACCTGGAGTGCTGCACAGCTCTGGTGTCCCCAACAGCACAAGGACATGGAACTGCTGGGGCAAGGCCAGAGGAGCTGCTGCTCATAGGCCCCTTAATGGCTAATTGGGCCTGGGCATAGCAAGAGGAGGTGAAAAAGCTCCTCGTGTTTTCTGAGTAAGGAATTGCTTCCTATTGCCTGATTTCATTCAGGAAAAGCTCCATCCAGCAAGTGGCTATGTGTGAGCTCAGTGTTATTATTAATGACCCCAGTGGGAGCTCTGAGCACCAACATGGGATGGACTTGGAACACTTGTCCAAAGTGGTAACTGCTCATGTGCTATTGTCCAGTGTCCTTATTTTATAGACAGCTTCATTGACTGGAGCCAGACAATAGATCTGATTTCTTTGGCTTGAACTTAAAGGTCCTTCCTTCCTTCCTTCCTTCCCTCCCTGCTACCATTCCTGGCTTTGGCACCTGCTGAGGAGTAATTAGGACAATCCTAATTTGGTTCTATCCTGATTACAGCAAGAGGAAAAACAGGAAATGTTCTCGTTTTGCTGCTAGCAAATGACTGACTGAAATAGAAATCTATATCCATTTCAAATGATGCCGAGGAGCAGAGCAGCTCCTTGGCTTTCCTGGGATGAGCAGTTCCATCCGTGGGGATGTTGTGCCCTCTGCAGGGATCTGGGATCCACAGGGCTCTGCACAGCCATGCCCTTTGCTCCAGGGTTTTCCTCGGGGGTTGAGATGGGTAAATCCTCCTGTTGATAAAGTTAGTGCAGGGAGGATTATTTATAGCTGCTTAAAATCAGAATAAACTCCTTGGAGCTGTGAGCTGATAGGATCAGGCAGAGCTGTGGAGTGAGGGAGTACAGGGCTGTTCTTGGCAGGGCAAGGTTGTGGGAATTTGTGAAGCCAGAGAGATGATTCATGTGGGATTTGCACATGGCATTGGTTCCTTCCCATGTGTTTCTTGAAGGGGAATAGGAGCAAACGTGGGGGAAATGTATCCACATAAAGACTCCTCAATGCTAGATTTGATCTAGAGTTCCTTGAGAAACAAGACATCAGCACTGGGAAATGCACAGCTGAGGTTGGTCATGTCTGAGATCTATTTGGCTCATGTTTCCAGGGATTGCAAACAGCTAAACCTACCAGGGCTGGGTAGGGTTGGATTGGACATTGATATGATAGTATACCAGGGCTGGGTAGGGTTGGATTGGATATTGATATGATATGATATGATCATGGATTTCCATGATCTAATTGATGGCAAATTCCAGGAACACGTTGCATGTGATGTAGGTGAGATGTTTTGTCCAAGTGACAGGTTTATACAGATTCCTATATCTCTCCAAATGGTGAAGAAAATACAACTCTCCTGCTTTCCAGCCAGGGAAGATGAATCTAACCCCCTTTTTATTGGTGAAGAAATGAGGAGCAGATTGGTTCCTCCAGCATGGCTGAGGTCAAACAGGATTTCTTCATTCCCCAGGAAATACTCTTAGCACTCGTTTTGCTGCTTATTGGCATCTTTCCCTCCTTGCATTGACTTCTTGGGGTTTAAGTTGCCCTTTTGACTCCTTTGGGCAGGGGCCTCTCTCCCTCAGGCTGGAGGTACCTGGCACATGCTGAACACACTAAACTCTTAGCAGTGTGAGCAGAGCTCAGTGTGGAAACATCAGTTTGGCTGTGGGAAGACAAAAACATTACTCAAAGCCACATTTGGCACAAGGCAATGGAGCCCAATTAGCCCCTGTGGCTCCCAGATGTTTCCTAATGACAAGCCATGGCCTCCAGCTGTGCCCAGGGGTGTTCCCTGCTCCCAGCTCCAAGCTCCAATCTGGGACCATTCCCACCAGCAGATGTTTTCTGGATACAACCCACTGAGCCATGGAGAGGTGAACCCTCATGGCTCAGTGTGCCATGACCTGTGTGAGTGTGGCATCTATTCCCCACCTGCTTCCAGGGGCTGGGGATGAACAGATGGCACTTGCCTTGGCCCATTGGGCTGGGAATTAATTAGCTGATGATGTCAGTGGTGGTAGCAGGTGATTCTGTGCATTGGGTCTGGCTGGGATGGAGTTCCTTTTCCCTCCCAGTGCTGTGCTGTGTGTTGGTAGCTGGAAAGGTGTGACATAAGTATTTTGAGACCAACATTGCCCCTCAGCTGTAGGCTGGGACAGGGCAAGGTCAGATGTCCCAAACTGATATTCCATCCTGTATGACATTGCTCAGCAGTAAAAACTTAACCCGTGAGGTTTTTGCTCTCTCATTTTCACCTCCCTCTGTCCTGCTGAGGAGGGAAGTGATAGAGTGACTTGGTGGCCACCTGGAACCAGCCAAGTCAACCCACCACTGCCTGCTGCAGCAGTAGGAGTAGTTACTGAGGAGTTTGGGGGAAGGAGAGGCTGTTTGGAGGGAAGTGTTTTGAGCTGTAGTAAAACCTGTCATCCTGTCTCGTGAGGATTTACTTGAGGACCTGAAATAGATTGACAGTGATAGAAGTTAGGGAGGTTGCAAACTGGCTGAGATGCTGGAAAGGAAAGGTGGGGAGAAAGGAGGCTGTGGCTGGTGGGGAGAGATGAAGTTGGGGTATGTGCCATCCTGTTTAACATCCTCATGAGGGAGGGGTTGGAGTAAAACCAGCTTGGCAACAGACATTAGGAGGTGTTGCAGTTGGGAAAGGAATGGGGACAGAATTCCAAGGGACTCGTGGTGGTGGCAGTGTCCCAGCATCGATTACTTGGAAGCTCACTATTGATTTCAGTGGAGAATTTGGCTAAGGGTTCCATGGACCTCGCTCAGAGAGTTCTCCCCATCCCTGGAAGTGCTCAAGGCCGGGTTGGATGGAGCTTGGAGCACCCTGGGCTGGTGGGAGGTGTCGCTGCTCATGGCAGGGGATGGCACTGGATGATCTTTAAGGTCCTTTCCAACCCAAACCCTTCTGTGCTTCTAATGGACCCATGAGTACATCACCAAATTGTGAGAAAAGCAGGAATCAAGTGGATTAGTCTCTTGGAAGGCATTGACCCTGGAAATCAAGGACACCAAGCTCAGCTTGTGGCTTGCTATAGCAGCAAAGCTTCCTCCCTCTCTCCTCCCCCAACCCCAACTCCATAAAGCAATAGGAGCTTTGAGGAGAGCAGATAATGAGGATCATAAAGCAGAGAGGGAGCTCTGTCCTCTCCCCAACTCCATCAGGAGACTCCCAGAGATGACTTGCAGCCTTAGATGTCTGAATGGCTATGATAAGACTGTAAATAATTGAAGAGAGTAAACAGTGGAAGTGGTGAGAGCTGAGGGGAAATAACAGGAGGAATGGGATGAAACTGAGTAAAATAAAACACCAGCACAGTATCAGGAGGTTTTTTTTTATCCGAGAGTTAGAGTTGTTCAGCTGTGAAATAGACTCCCAAGGGAAGGAGACTATTACTTTAGTCATTTAAATGTGGAGAGGACAAAGCTCTGGCTAATATATTCAGTGGAACAGTTGAGCCTTGGCAGAGAAATAGTCAGATATCATCACATTCAGTTTTAACATCTCAGATGTCAGGGATGCTGGGGGAGCTCTTTGAATGGGATACTGGGAAGGAATTCCTGGCTGGGAGGGTGGTGAGACACTGGCACAGGTTGCCCAGAGCAGCTGTGGCTGCTCCATCCCTGGGAGTGTTCCAGGCCAGGTTGGATGGGGCTGGAGCAGCCTGGGCTGGTGGGAGCTGTCCCTGCCCTGGGCAGGGGGTGGAAATAAGGTTCCTAAGGTCCTTTATTGACTCCTTCAAATGCAGCATCCTATGTGTCCCCTGACATTGCCAGTCAGGAGTTCAGAATAGTTACACTGCCAAAAATACTAAACAGGGAAAGTCTTCATAACTGGAATGTGCTGTGATCTGTAATTTCATTGCACACTCTGTTATTAGATGTTTTGAGTGACTGGTCAGGCACTGGGATAGGGAATTGCCCAGGGAGGTGGTGCAGTCACCATCCCTGGAGGTGTTTCAGAGGTGTCTGGATGTGGTACTGGAGGATCTGGTTCAGGGGTTCCAGCAGTGACAGGCTAAGGGTTGGACTTGATTATCTTCAAGGTCTCCTCCAACCTGCATGATTCCATGACTGGAAAGAAGATCCTGAACTCTTCATTTCCCTTCACTGCTTCAGACCTGGTCCCCAAGCTGGACCAGGTGCTGTGCAGTGAGGTGGTGGCTTCCACCCAGGTCTTACTGGGCAGCTCTCCACGTTGCAGTCACAACACTCTCAGCAGCAACTTGTGAGCTTGACAGAGATTGCAGAGAACAAATGAGCCACGGAGAAACTAGTGCAGAATGACCTCCCCCAGTTGTGTCAAGTCAGATGGTTCCAAGGGTGGGGAGAACATAGCCCCTTTTCCCTTTAAGGAGCCTCTCAAAGTGCATCACGAGTTGTGAGTTTAAGAGAACTTTCTCCCTTGTCCGTTGCCACCTGAGCTCTCTATGGAATTCCTCCTTGGATCTGCTTCATCCCCATTTGTATGTAATAAGGATTTTAATGAGTCTGTGCAGAATGAAATGGAAAGTAGAATGAAAAGTGGAATTTCATGCCCCTGATGTGGTTGTTGCTTCCTTCCTTCCCCTAGGACCATTGTGCAGTCGGATGAGAAGCTGGTGATCAGTGCCTCCTGGGCTAAGGATGATGACATTAGCAGACTCTTGAAATCTCTGCCCAACTGGAGCAACATGGCTCAGCCCAAGCAACTGAGACCCAAGAGAGAGGAGGAGGAAGACTTTATAAGGTAAAATCTGTTTGGAAGGTGTGAAAGGGTTTCCGGGAGAGTTGCAACGATGGTGAAGCTGCTGGAAACAAAGTGGTTGTGGTGGTTTTGTGGCTGTTGTGTTCCCATGTGTGAGAAGAGCCATAGAATCATGTAGAAAGTGGAAGAGGCATTTAAGATCATAAAGTCAAACCATTCCCAGCACTGCCAAGGCCACAACTAACCATGTCCTCAAGTGCCACATCCATGTTAGATCCCTGGCCAGGCTGGATCAGATGGCCAAGCTCAGTCTGATGCCAACAGTGCCAACATTTTGATCCTAATATGCATTTTATTCCAATATTGTCCTTTTACTGTCCATTAGTTGATGTATTTTGTGACATTGTATCAGAGGAGTGAGACTAGAAAGTCTATTAAGTCCTCTACATTGGATTCCCTGGGAAAACCTCCTGGACTCTGTCTTTTTTTTCATCCTAGACATTAGGACAAAGCTCTTTTCTCAGTATCTGTTTGCACAGAGCATTGTGTGTCAAGCCTCAGTTCCTCAGAGAGCTGAGTGAGTGCTCCTGGAGCATTTATTGCACTGATCTGGGCCAGTTTTAGGCATTGATGGGAAGTGACACAGCTTATAAACTTCCTCCAGAACCAGCACTTGGCTGAACAGATCTCCCCTGAAAGCCTCAAAATAAAATTGCATTGCTTGTCCAATTTTTTGTCATCCTCTTGCCATTTATGCAGGCTCTTTCCAGCCTTTCTCCTGATACAAAGGAACATGATTTCTGCATTGATGTTGCTTCTTTCTCTTCCTCTTGGCACTGCTGATGAATTGGGAATAATTCTGCTGTGTCTTCTATGTCTATTCATCTCTGCCTGGACACTGCAGTGGAGCCAGAGGGAAGTGTGGCCTGTGGATGTGTTGGTTATTAGGGACATGTCTGTGATGGAAGAACTGGGAGAGCTCATTCATTATCTCTTTAACCACGGAGGATGTTTAATACCTTGATTTCAGGTCTGTGTTCACAGACTTTCCTCCTTGGCTAACAGGGCCAGGACTGAGCATCCTCTCCTGGAAAGGAAGGTTTAAGCCTGATGAAACATGGGAACATGTTCCTTCTGGACATCAGACAAGGTGCTGGAACTGCTCAGCAACAGCCTTTTATGAATATTGGTAAATTAAATGCAGCCTGGAGGTTTCTCCCCAGTTTTTGTCCTGTGGCAGGAGAAGAGCTCAGTGCACAGTTTTCTTCGCCTCCTCAAGTTTTCTTTAACTCATTTGTTTAATTAAAAAGCAGAGTCCAAACGTGATGTCTTTGCAAAGAAAAACCTCCTCCTGCATAGCTGTTGACAGTGATTGATTTTGTTGTCTTAACCCTCCACTATCTCCTGTGCAAAGAGGTGTCAAAAGGCAGTGGGAGACACCAGCAGAATCTCTCCATTAATATTCTGCTGAGGTTGGGCCGACAAAGGGACCTGATTGAGCATATTATAGTAGCTCAGAGCTTGGCAAGGGGAGAGAAAGGGAAGCAAAGCTGTGCCTCTAGTCACACAATTAGTTTTTAAAGCTCTGAAGGCTATTTGGCACTGGGGTGAGTGTGAAATATGCTGCCCTTAGAGCTTTGGAAAGGTTATCCCTCACTTCATTACTGAAGCAGATCTGGTGCTGATAAAACCCAGAAATGGATCGTTCCCAGGTTTGCCTTTGATGGGGAAAAGCAGTGTGAAAAGAGCTTAGCTGTGGCTGTGCAGAGTTGGAGCAGAATTCCTTGGGGATGGTGCAGCTCTGCAGCACTTCTAGAACCACTACACAACGTTCTGGAACAGTTGTCCATGGGCTGGTTTGGCCTTCTCCATGGTGTGACTGGTGTCTCCCCATGCTGTCTCATGATTCTGTCTCCCTGAGGGTGTCTCTGGTTTGCATTTCAGAGCTGCTTTTGGCAAAGAATCCGAAGTTCTCATTGGCAACCTGGGAGATAAGCTCATCCCTCAGCAGGAGATCCTGCGCGATGTCAGTGACCTCAAGGCCTTGGCCAACATGCACGAGAGCCTGGAGTGGTTGGCAGGACGCACCAAGGCAGCTTTCTCCAGCCTCTCAGCCACCCAGAGTAAGTAGCTCCCACAGGAGAACCTTTGTTTTAGGACTGGAAGCAGCATCAGTGTGGGATTTCAGCAGGGTTGGGCACCTTTCGGTCCTGATTTCAAAGCAGGTTCATGGCAGAGAGAAGCTGAAAGAGAAGCAGCTTCATCTCTTTCTTCCCAGTGAGTGTTGTGCTGTGACATCAGGGCTGTGGTGGCACCAGGTGGGGGTGGCAGGAGCATCACTTGTAGCTCTGGGAGATCTTCCAGTGCTTCAGCTCTTCATCAGTCTCTGCTAATGCCATCATGGAGGAGCAGAGAGCAGTGCCAAGTCAGGTTCCACTGGCTTCAAGGCAGTGCTAAACCCTGAATATTTCACTCTAGGTGTGTATGACACACTCAGGAGAGGAATGGAACACGTTGTGATGAGGAATGCCCTGACCTGTGTGTCCCTGATATTCAGCCTGAGCACCCCCAGGTTGGACCATGGTGCCAGGAGGGCACAGGCTCTGCTGTCAGGGGCTGTCTGTGCCACCTCTGTGAGGTGCTTTCATTTCACTCTGCTTCAGTTTGCACTCAGTCCCCCAGGGAATTGTGATTTTTCTCTGCCTGGAAAGTGCTAGAGCTAGAAAGTCAGAGTGTTCTGTCTCAGTAAAACCATTGTCCCTTGCCAGCAGAACACCTCTGCTTGACTGAACACCTTTCTGGAGCTTCTGACTCTGCTCTGGAGCAGTTCAAACTCTTTCCTCCACTATCAGTTCTTTAGGCTCCAGAGGGACAATTAACAAACACAATCAGTTAACAATTAAACACCCACTGACTACAGGTAGCTTTGATCTCCCTGTAAGCCACAGTTTGAGGTCTCCATATCTGGCTGACAAACTTGGCATAAAACAAATTCAACCTAATAAATAATGACAAGTTAAAGCAAATTAAAATAAAGCAAGCAAATAAAAAATAAATAAAGCCAATAAAAAGTAAAACAAATAAAGAATTAAACTGAACCCACTGGAAAATGTGACGAAGTTCAGTAGCCAAATATTTACTCCTAGGACTTTAGTTACTGAGAGAGTTTTGGGGCTGAGGATTTGTGCTCTTAACAGTCAGAGCTGTTAAAATAAAACATAATTTCTAATTCCAGTTCTAGTTGGAACTCAAATTTCTTTCAATAAATCAGTATTTCCCAAGCATTAAAGGGCACCAATGTGACTGTGAGGCTGAGAGAGGATGTTACACACAGCAGTGAATAAACATCAAGGCACAAAGTGTAATATTTCACTTGGCAGGATCTAACTGACAATAAAAATTCATCTTCCTTTGTAATAACTTCAGCCTCCAATATCAGGACACAAGCACAGGAGTACCTGAAACAAGAGGGAGAACAAGCAGTGCCAGAAGATGACAGAGGCTGTTTGACCTCCTGGTTGTAAATGGAAGTTGGTGGAGTAGATCTCATAAATGGAACATCAGTGGAGCTGAATGAACTCTGGATGGGAGAAGAGGAGGGGATGCTGTGGGGCAGAGAGGGTGGTGGGAAGAGGATGGAATGACAATCCAGCAAGCTCTGGTGGTGTACAGGGAGTGCAGCTCTTTGGGGGAAGGATATGGAGGATAAATAGCAGAGGGAAAATTAGATGAGAAGTTTCTCTCCAGCCCAGAAAGCTCAGGAACCAACCCAGGCCTGGGCTGCATCCCAAGGAGCGTGGCAGCAGGGCCAAGGAGGTGATTCTCCCCCTCTGCTCTGCTCTGCTCTGCTCTGCCCCACCTGGAGTGCTGCACAGCTCTGGTGTCCCCAACAGCACAAGGACA